TTAGCTTGTTCCTCTAGTACTCTAGCTCTCTCCTCTCGATCAAGTCTATCACGCTCCTTTTTGTCTTCTCTCTTTCTATCTTGGTTTTCTCTTTCAACTTGATCTCTCTCCTTTTTATCCTCTCTCTCTCTTTCTAACTGTCTGTCTTGGTTTTCTCTTTCAATTCCATCTCTCTCCTTTTTATCCTCTCTTTCTCTTTCTAACTGCCTTTCTTGGTTCTCTCTCTCTATTCTTTCTCTCTCCTTTTTCTCCTCTCTCTCGATTCTCTCTTTCTCCTTTTCAATTCTTTCCTGGATCTGAGCACTAATGAAAGCTTCTAAATTTTTCCCCGTTATTCCTTACTTACTCCCAGCGTTCATCTAGAACTAATATTCCTCCATACTTGCAAGAATATCAAAAGAAAACAGAGGGTTCAATTCCTGCTCCACTCAAACTGTAAATAAATCGGAGGGTTCGATCCCTGCTTCGATTAAACAGTACAGTATGTGTGAATGAAAATGGAGGGTTCTATGCCGGCTCCGAGCAAACAGTAAGTAGATTGGGGTCCCTTGACCATCCAGTCTTCTCACCAACAAATCAAGAGTGTCCTATGACAGTTCCCTTGATATAATAAAGAGCTCAATGAAACAACTTGTCACTGGAAAATCTCGGGTCCCTATAGTCTATTCCTCCAAATCATTTCAAGCTCAAAAAATAAAGGTGACAGAATTAACTAGTATATCCTGCCTTGACTTGACTTACAATAAATTGAGACTATAACAATCACCAAATCTATTAAATACCTGTACTGTAGTCCTACCATAGAGAATGATTACTCATGGCTGGTGGTAACCGTCTGTGGTATTCAGTGTTGAAGTTCCAATGGTAGATTCGAGATGGAGTTGAATCTTGATTCAGTAGAGTTGATCCTGGCAAGGTCGCCACTTGTGAAGACTTACTCAGCCCTGTAACAACTTCTGCCAGTATTACCAAGGCTGGCTCCTCCTCAGGAAAATTAATGAATAGAAAAAGAAATAATAATTCACAAAGATAAACACTTTATTATTTATTAATGCAATGATAAAACATTGAAATATGAAGGTATATACTACTTGAAAGAAAAATGAAAAATTAAATGGAAAAATGACATTTGAATTCAACGCTACTATGTATAGTTATACTGGGGTGTCTGGTTGAAGTTGACACAGTCTTGTAGAAATTGTAGCCGTTGCTGATGATGTGGGGGGGGGGTCACAGGTGTTGAGTGACAACCCAACGACTAGTTCTTCACAGAGTCTATAGCCTTGAAT